ATTACCTGTTATTTTTCCTCGACAGTAATAACGTTGGAACTTTCTTGATTAACATTTCATTTTCTATATATACGATGCTATTTTTTTAATTATTATTTTGTTACTATCATTTTTTGTTGATTTTTAGGGAGGGATTATTAGAGTAATTTCAAAAGGTAGTTTTAGTTTGACTACATAATTACAGATTGTTCTTCTTTTTTTGCGCCTGCAAATTCTAAAACCAATCAAAATATAGAAAAAAATAGATACTCAAGATCGCTTTAGCTGTTCTTAATAACCTTTTCAGTCACAAAAATACAAATTTACAGGCAATAGGAATTTTATTAATTGATAATGGATTGTCTCTTACATATATGATAAACAATTAATGAACATTATAATTGTGCATTTTATTCACTTGTTTTTGAAGGTTTCATACACGTATGAGCTACACAAAGTATTTTTAAAATTTAAAGCAAACATTCTAAAACATAACAATAATGATGATAAACACTGATATAAATGTGAAATTCTATCTGATCCTCATGGACCCCTTGAGACCTATACATGGAACCCCTAGGAGCTCATGGACCCCAGGTGAAGAACCCTTACTTTAGACGCATTTCCATCCCCTCTCTCTCTCCCTCACTCTCTCTCTCTCTCTCTCTCTCTCTCTCTCTCTCCTCTTCTCGCTCCCTCTCTGTCTATCTCTCTCTCTCTCTCTCTCTCTCTCTGTCTATCTCTCTCCCTCACTCTCTCTCTGTCTCTCTCTCTCTCTCTCCTCTCTCCCTCCTTCTCTCTCTCCTCTCTCTCTCTCTCTCTCTCTTCTCTCTCTCTCTCTCTCTCTCCTCTTCTCTCTCTGTCTATCTCTCTCTCTCTCCTCTCTCTCTATTCTCTCTCCTCACTCTCTCCTCTCTTCCCTTCTCTCTCCCTCCTCCCTCCCTCTCTCTCTCTCTCTCTCTCTCTCTTCTCTCTCTCTCTCTCTCTCTCTTTACAGGTAGCCACATCTAAACCTCAAACATCTCCTTCTCTTCATCTCCTTTCTCAACAGGCTAGCGCAGTCTTAGCAGGCTGGGATGAGGAGCTGGATACGGTCTTGGACAGGCTAACTCAGGCTGCCTATGCAAGCGCTTATGACGAAAGCTTAGAAGTCCTGCTCCCGCTCCTCCAACCCGACGGCTCCTTCTCGGATTTGAAGGTACGGGCTTATATATATATATATATATATATATATATATATATATATATATATATATATATATATTATATATATATATATATATATATATATATATATATATATATATATATATATATATATATATATATATATATATATATATATATATATATATATATATATATATATATATATATATATATATATATATATATATATATATATATATATATGTGTTTTATGGTGAGAAAGGTTCTTTTTTTTGTTTTAGTTTATTTCTTTGTGTATATGATTTTGCGAGCGATTTTTGTGCTTGTATTTGATAGTACGAGCGTAATTTTTTTTTATGGTATAAGCGTAGTTTTACTTCTGTTTGATGTTTATTGTATATTTTTATTTGTATTATTAATGGTAGGAACGTTTTTATGAAACGAGCGTTTTTTTTTGTATTTAATGGTATGAACGTAGTTTTACTTCATTTCAATTTTTTTTATTTGTATTTTTGATGGCACGAACGTATAATTATTAATTTATTTTTTTATGGAAGGAGCGTTTTTTTTTTTCTTGAATCAGGTGCCTATTATTTGTTTTGAATTATTATATTTTCTGTTTGTGTAATCAACAACTTCATTATCTTTCTCATAATTGTTATTACTGCTGTTACTATTCATTCTCTGATCACCATTGTAATTGTCCTTCCCATTATCATTCTCATAATAATTATCATTATTATTAGTAAAGGTATTATCATCATCATTCTCCCAGCACTACTGTTATTATCATTATCATCATTGTCATTATTTTCATTATCATCCTCTTCGCTATTTTCGTTATCATTACGGTCATACCTGCCATTAATTTTCCCAGATGTTTTTCTCTCCCACCATCCGCCACGCTCTCCCACGTATCCTTGTATGTATCCATCCATGCACCACGTATCTTTCTATGTATCCACCCATGTCTCATGCATCCTTGTATGCATCCCTGTCTTGCATATCTTTTCTATGTATCCACCCATGTATCATGTATCCTATGTATCCACCATGTATCACGCATCCTTCTATGTATCCACCCATGTCTCACCTATCCTTCTATGCATCCCTGTCTTGCATATCCTTCTATCCATTCCCCACATGTATCACGCATCCTTCTGTGCATCCCCCATGTATCACCTATCCTATGCATCCCTATCGCATATCCTTCTACGTATCCCCCCTTGCACCACGTATCCTTCTACGTCCCCCCCATGTATCACGTGTCTCCGCGCCCGCAGTACGGCGAGGACGACTCCACGTCCTTCATCACCCACGGCAAGAGGCAGAGCTCCCTCGCCTTCCACCA